TAATAGCCTTCATGAGCTGTGCCTCTCGCTCGACACGTGGCGTATGCATCGAGATACCGAATGTTGACTCGGTGATGAGGACGTCGATCTTTACACCTGGAGGTACTGAAGCTGATACCAAATGTCGATCGTCTTCCCGCGAGTAGTCGCCGGTGAAAAGTATCTTTAGGCCTGCAATTTCCATAAGAAACATGGCCGCTCCAAGTACGTGACCAGCTGGGTAAGGTGTTATCCGTACACCGGAGACAGTGTGGGTGGTGTAAAAGTCGATTGACTCAATCATAGGATAGGTGTTGAGATGGTCCGCCTCGGTGTACATTTGGATCTTGGTCTCGGAATTGCTTGACATATTACCGACACGGACAGAGTCTTGGATGAGCCATTTGTAGATGGCCTTGGTCGGATGTGTCATGAATACGCGGCCCTTGAAGTTGGTCTTCGCAAGTACATAGGGTAGAGATGCAGCATGGTCGACGTGGAAACTAGCCTGATGTCAGCATGCTGGAGGACGACTGAAGGACTCAGGGTGAGCCCGGTAGAAGCGCCCAAAGTTGTAGATACATTGGTGGGAACCAGGGAGGGGCACATCATCGAAGTCGAGCGGGAGGAAGCAAATTATATTCCATTCATAGTGATATACAAGTCGCTGTATTGCGAGTGCCCTTTGCGCGCTCATGGTCCGACTCCAGTGATGCGCCGAACCCCAACTACCATGGCAAGCAAGACGCGCGTATACATACTGTGAAATTAGTAGCACGTCTACGGTGCTAAGATCGAAGTCATCGTAAAATGGCATGGCGGACAAGCCTTCGTGTGCGGGATGCATACCGGCATCAAGCTGTCCCTCGTTAGTATGGCTGCGGTAGAGTATGCGAGTCCTGAATGCGCACCATGACGGTCTTGCCCTTGTACTGGATGATGTGACACGAGCGGCCGACCTCGTTACCGCCTCCTAAGCACAGGAACATGAGCTCGTCGGAGGGATCTATTGGGTCTTCATCCTCGGGCGCCATAGCCGTCGCCTTTCTCTTCGATGCCATTGTTGTGTGGGTTGCGATGTGGATGTGTTACTAGGTGGTATACGGGCGACGGAGGTGAGGCTACGGGGTTGGTGGATGTCCAGGTGGTAGCCGAAGAAGAACGCGTAAGATATCTATGAACCGCGCCTGGACCTAGCTCATTAATCGTAAATTAGTGTCGCAGGGATATTCAACGCCTCGATGGAAACGCCCAAGGGTGAGAGAGAAGTCGTGGCAGCGTCGAGTGAGAGCGGAGTGGCAGTTGGTTGACCGTTGCGGCTCTCTTTGTCTGGCGCGCGACTGCCAAGACTTTGTCCGTGCTCGTCATTCCCAGATTCATCGTCCGCTCTGTCAACCGCGACATCACCAACCCCGACGCGCCTGCCAACTCCACCCACCGCGCCTGCCCGCCGAACACGTCCCATCGCAAGCGCTATCGAGCCCCGAACATACTGCCGCCGGATGACGCGCCGATAGAAACCCTCTGCCAGCGCGACTCCCCGAAAGGGACGAGCTGCCCACCATGGCCTACCCGAACAACTACCAGTATCCGCCGCCGGGCCAGCAGCCCCCGCCGCCCGTGCAAACGCAGAATCTGGGCCACCAGCAACAGCCGCGCGCTTTCTCACCGCATAATTACCAGCAGTCGCCCACCGCCCTGTCCCCAACCATGGGCAGCGGCATCCCTCCGAATAAGCGACAGCGCCTGTCGCCAAACCCGCCATCGCCTGCGCCGTACCAGTCGCCTTTTGGCATGCCTGGCGCGCCCCAATACCCTCCCTCGCCCTATACCGCTTCCCCGCAGACGCCTGGCTACCACTCACTGCCCACCTCGCCCGCCGCGATGCAGCCTCCGCCCTTCCACCAGCCTCAGCCATATCAGCACCCGAATGGACAGCCGCCAGCGCCCCAGGGCTCTATGCCGCCACCCAAGGTCCCTTATAGCAAGACTGGCGATAGTTCGGAATTGGAAAAGGCAAATGCGCGCGACCTGGACGTCAATAACATTAGCGATGTGCTCACAGGATCTGGTATCGATCTGCGCGCCGAGGAGGACAACCTGCTGCACAACTACAGGAGCTTCAACTCGCAAGCATCGGGCTCCACAGCATCACCACATGCTAGCTTCAATAACTGGAGCCAGCAGTCGGGCCACGGCGCATTCCAAGGGACCGGCGCACTTAGTCAAGAAATGACCAAGGAGCAGCATGAAGCCGAGTTCATCAGGAAGCACGAGCAAGCCGCCAGGATCCTGAACGAGTCAGCCCAGCAGCCGCTGAATGACCCGTTCCTGTCAGCAAGTGTCCTCAGACATCGAATCGCGAAACGTGGCTATGAACACGGTATCCAGATCAACGTTGATGGCTTGTTTGACAAGATCCCAGACAAGGGACAGCAAGAGATCGCACGTACCACTGCAGCTGGTGCCAACGGCGAACAAATCGTAGGCTTGGAGGCTGCCAGTCTACTGAACCAAAATGCTCCACTTGTGGAGATTCTGACGCTGATATCGCTGGCTGCCGAGGAGCGTGTGCGGACCATAGTTGAGGATTCTTTCGCTTTATGCCAAGGTCGTCAAAATACTTCTCATGGCATCATTCCCCCACAGATGCTTGATCTTGCTGTGGTAGATGAGGGCGCATCAGAGAAAATGGCTCCGCCAGTCAACATCTTGAAGACGCCGTGGGAGGCAACAGACAGTGCTGTCAGCCCTACAGCGACAGCCAGCAAGGGTACGTTTATGTTGCATATTCTCCAATTTATTGCTAATCGACTCAGGCGTCCCCAATGCGGGACGACTTCCAACGCCTCCAAGCGAAGCACCCCCAACCCCTCAGCGAACATACCAAAACGTCAACCACGTTGCCATTGCGCTTACGAAGCGTGTAAATGATGACTACAAATGGGAGCAGGAGCGCCTTCGCAAGCGCGCAAAGCGTCAGGCAGGCGCCTCGGCTTCCTCAGCAGATACGCCAGCTGCACCAATACCCATGCCGGAACCTGTGACAAAGAAGGCTTTGGCGTTTGCCAAGAAGCAAAGTCAGTCAGACGTTGTCGTGTTTGGCAAAGCCAACGAGACCGCCAGTATGGCGCTTGGTGGCAAGAAGAAAAAATACTCGTGGATGACGGGCGGTGGCGGAGGACCAGCGTCAGGTGCATCTACACCACGACCGGCTGCAGCAACAGGCGGCAGTGGCGCCGCTACACCTGCGGTCCAAGCGCCCGAAAAGGCTCTCATGGGCAAAAAGCGCAAGTTCGGCGACACCATTGAGCAGACCGAAACAGGCGCCGGCATCCAGCTCCGTGATCTCATTCATGTCCTGGACAACGACGGAAAAGAGAAGAAGACGCTCACAGTCATCTTGGCGCGTCTGAAGAACACAGAAAAGGATACTAAGCCTGAGGTCAACAAGGCGGCGCCTGCTGTACCTGGTCCGGGTGTAAGAGCTTAGGCTCTACCTTTATTTGCATTATCAGCGTTGGCGTTAAACGGAGGGATGTCAAGTGAAGAGGACAGAACTTGTGACATATTATTTGCATTATATCCCCAAGGGCTGGGGTAAAACTTTCATCGATGAGAGATGATCGATTGGGTACCTTCGAATGGAATGGAATTCGTGCTAAGGGTATCACGTTCACAGGGGTGAAGTAGCTAAATGATCCCCAAGAATAATATCTACAGAAGATACCATCAACCGGCTTTCGAATTTGTGTTCTTCACGATGCTACCCAGCGATTCAAAACATCTCTATCGGTAGCCTTGATGCAAGAAGATCTGGTCATGCCTACAAGGCTACTTCCAATGCGTATACAGATCTACGCGTCAGACGCGCCAATAGCAAGCGTTCCGGAGTAGCGCCGATATGCTCAGCCTCGTATGTTCGACTGCGGCACAGTTGCAAGCATTTTGGGTGCCTGTCAACAGCTCCGCTCAATGCGGTTGCGCTTTCGCTCTCTTGATCACAGTTTGATTATACATCTATTTACCTATCGTTGTTCGAGAAGTTGCTATGTACCATATCTCAAGACGGCCGCTCACCACTCTTGCCTTGTGTACTGTTCGAACGCATAACAAACGCTTATCCATCAGCAGAGGGCTTGTAAGTTGGCAAGGAGCTCCCGTCTATACACTCCCAAGTACAAGGCCTGGACAAATTCGTCTTTCTCGAGCAGCATTTTCCACATCAACGCAATCAAAGCATTCTTTCGGTGAAGGTACGCCATTTCCATCATCCCTGCCAACTATATCTTATCACAATGCTAACCTTCACACAGATTTCGACCCCTACAACTACACGAAAGGGCGCTGGCTTCGTAACGATGCAATTGAGCGAAAGGCACGGTTCATACAATTCGACTTTGACGCTTTGTGTCGCAAGATCATAGCACTATGCCCCGGTGCTCATTCCATCACCTCGTGTGAGAAGATTGAAGGTGGCAGCAACCGAGTCTTCATATTTCAGACCGATGATGGGAAACGTCTCGTTGCGAAACTGCCGTTTTCTGTGGCGGGCCCACCGAGGTATACGACGGGTTCGGAGGTTGCTACTGTGGAGTATTGTACGTTCTAATCTCAGGGGTTGGACGATGAGAAGTGTGGTAAAGGAAATGACTGACCTCTTATTTCCTTAGTGCAAAGCAAGACCAGTATCCCCATTCCCAAAATCGTGGACTGGAGTGACGACGCTTCCGACAACATTGGAAGCGAATACATTATCATGGAACACGCCCCAGGCGTTTGTTTGAATCTGAAATGGCACGAGATGACAGAGGTTCAGCGAGCCTCGTGCATGCAACCCATCTACCAGAAAATGAAAGAAGCCGCCAACCTCGCATTCCCTGCGTATGGTAGTATATATCGAACTGATACACCGTACATCGAGGGTTCCACGATCCCTCTAGACTCAGACTTCTGCATCGGACCTAGTTGCGACGACTTGTACTGGGACATTAAACCCACCTCACCGAAGTATTATCACGATGTCAAGCCTAACCGAGGACCATGTAAGCCAACACCCATCATCCCAGTACCAGCCCAACATCCTCATCCTCACCCCAGGGCCAGACCTCCCCACCTTCATCTCCGCCCTCACCGACGTAGGCCTCTCGCGCCTCCCACCCGCCAGCATAGCCTCTTCCCTCCGCCTCCCGTCCTACCACGGCACCATCTCAGAACACAAAGTCCTCCTAGAATACTGCCGCGCAATAACAAAACAGATGATCCAAACTACGCTCATGCAAACGGTGTCCACGCCCATACTGTTCCACCCCGACCTGAATTCTCGGAACATATTCGTCTCGGAAGAGGATCCAACGGTTCTGACGGCGATACTAGACTGGCAGTCCTCAGCTATACAGCCAGCGTTCTGGTACGCGGACTCCACACCTGACTTTGCAAGGAAAGAAGAAGTGGAAGTCGTTGCGAAGGATGATAGACAAGGGGAGGCAGGAGATCAGGGACAAGAACAAAAACAAAAACAAGACCAATCAGAATACACGCCCTCAAGCACCCTCCGCGCAGAAGAAGCCTTCGACCACCTAATCCACTCCCATCTCCCCCGCGCAATGCTCATCCCCCTCACAATGGACGAAGCCTACCTCCGCCCCTTCACCTACGGCCACAGATCCTGGCTGCACGGGGCAGCCCCCTTCCGCGAAGAACTAATCCAAACGTCGCGGCGATGGGGGGAACTGGGTTTCTCGACAGTAGGCCCATGTGCGTATCCCATGCCTAGCCGAGAAGAATATGCCGCGCATTGGGAAAAGTACAAAGAGTTCGAGGCGCGGCACACCATGAAGATGGAAATGCAAAGAATTTTGGGTGTAGAGAGTGGTGGGTGGGTGTGGGCGGATATGTATGACGTGACGAATCAGGCGCAGAAGGAGTGGTTTGAGGAGGCGATAAAGGGGGCGGTGGGGGAACGGGGGGAGAGGGTGTGGGTTAGTGAGGATGGGGAGAGGTTGACGGAGGCGGAGATTAGAGATACTTGGCCGTTTGATTTGGAGGATTGATGGGGGTGGGGTGCATGGCGGTTTGTGTACGATAGGTTTTGTGCTTGTATGCATCTCTGCTCAATGTACGACAGGATCTCTTCTCTTAGCTGTGTTGTTGCCATCACTATGATTAGAGGACACTCCACATGTCGACAGTCTCGTTCCTTCGACGAACGTAAGCGTGAGCGATACTTGAACAAGGAACGATCGGAACACCAAGCAATACCAGTCAAAACAATGATAAAGATTTTGCTATTTCAAACGTTTGAAGAGGGGGTATGCTTATATAACATCATCAATCGCCTTTGGACCAGATCGTCAGGTAGAGAAAAAAATGGCCCACAAAACAAGATAAAAGAGGACGCGCGCGCAGAAGAGACAGTCGCAATCATGGTCCTCGTCTACCCATACATCGTGCCCGTATCCCGGTAGTAAAATGTCCAAAAGTATGTTTGCTCTCCCGCAGATTAACAACTTTTTCGAAAAACAGTCGTGCGTAGTTTGCTCGGTATTATCAAGATGCGATTGCCCCGTTTATCTGAAGCGAGCAGTGCAGCGGCCCATGACCTCGCCCTGGCAGACGAGCTCGGCATTGAATTCGGATCCGTCGAGCGTGAGGTAGATGTCAAAGTAGACGCGGTAGAAAGTACCTTGAGGGGTATCCATGCGTTCAAAGTCTTTTTCGAGATTCTTTCGTGAGAGGTCGGAGGTGAGGGTGACGACTTCCTTGATACCTAGTTCGATGTTAGTACATACATTTCGTTCAGGTATCTTTTTCACTCACGAGGGTCTTTGGTGTACTCTGGGCAAACGTCGTCGTCGCATGCGTAGAGTATATCCTCGTACATGAGTGTCGCACCAGGCGCGACTTGCCTGAAGAACGAAACCTTGACTGGCTCGCCAATCTTGACCCTTTGGCCCTTTTGCACGAAGATCTGGCGCGTGTACTTGCAGCGGTCTTTGCCATCGAGAGACGGAACACGGTACTGTTCGGGGTGGTGGCCCTCCTTGAATGGCTGGAGAGTGGCCATGAGGTAATGCCTACGCGCAACACGGTGTGTGACAATTCGCTCTGTGATACCGGCTGTAACGGCTCCCTTGACGATGGCGGCCACGGAGTCCATGGGACGGACGACCTTTGACTGAAATTGGGGCGGGACGTGGAGTTTGATTTGTTGGAAGAGATATTCGGAGGCACCGAAACCACCGACCACCAAGACGTTCTACTATAATCAGCACTGAAAGTGACGTGCATCGACATCTGTGACTGCTTACCTGCAACGACCTGTTCTGTGCCTGAATAGCAATAATCTGGTTCCTGACAAGCTCGAGAATGCGATTAACCACAGGCTCAAAGCACTGTAGAATCTCCTCATTGGTGAAGGTCATGTACCCCTCCTCAATGCCAGCCTCTGGGAATTCAGCCTCGATACCGACGTCGACAGCCCACTTTTGACCATTGTTTCGGAAGTCGGCTTTTATCCTGTTCTCGAAGTCCATGATGCATTTGGCGTACACTTTACCGGCTGTCTTGGAGCCATCTGGGAGTTTCATCTTCCTGATCTTGGCTCGCAGGATGTTGCTGAAGTTGCGGTTCAGCGCAGTGGAACCACATGAGTCTCCGGATCCAGCTGTGCACTCGGCGACGGAGAAGGGCTGCTCTTCTTCGACTTCGTAGGCGATCAAATCGACGGTACCACCACCGCAATCGACGATGAGGACGGCGTCGTGTATCTTGAGGTTGAGCAGACCAGTCTTTGAGCAGAACATGGCGGCAGCTTCGGGCTCGGTAATGAGGGTCAGTCGGTTGTCGTTTTCGTCCCGCAAGAAACCAGCCTGAATGGCAGCCGCACGCGTTGCAGCCTTTCCAGCGTCGTTCCAGATGGCGGGTACTGTCAGGTAGTATCTGATGTTGCGCTCCTCACGGTTGAATACCTCACCAAGTGTCTTCTGCAGCTGGTTCCGCATCGCCTGGCGCAGGTGGAAGAGGTAGTCGGCGGCGACATCGATCTCAGACTTGCCCGGGGGTAGTGGCGGGAGGTTGATGGGGTCGATGTATGTGTTTCCGGACAGCATGAGCTGCAGCTTGAACCATTCGACCTTTTGCACACCAGGCTTGGGGTAGCCCGTGGGGGCCAGAGCATCGGCGATGTCAGGGCCCCATCCGACTACCTTCTGGTACTGGTCGTAGTAGAGGACGGTGGGGATCTGGGAAGGGTTAGCGGGTGCATGTGGAGGGGTCGGTCTAGCGCACTTTCTGCTTTGTCTGGTTGCCCGCGCCAGGCCATTCGGTGATGATGTCTTCCTTGGCCTCGGTGTTGGTCGCAAAGGCGAATGCGACGCCGGAGAAGGTGGTGCCCTGTGTGGCATGGTTAGCTGCTGCTGCGTCCGGGGGTGTCTGAGGCTACTCACAAAGTCGATGCCCACAATGAGCTGGGCCTTGGAGCGACCCTCGCCCGCTACCTCTGCCATGCCCGAGGGCCTATTGTACGTTGCGGGGGGACCATGAGGGGCAGGAGCTCCCGGCGGAGGAGCGCCGTAGCCCTGACCGTACTGTCCAGCTCCCGGCGGGCCCTGGGGAGGATAGCCAGGCGGACCAGCCTGCGGCGGGTAGCCCATGGGGGTCTGCTGGGGCGGGTAGCCAGGCGCGCCCGTGTTGATGGGCGGCAGAGGGCTCGCGGGCCGGCCGTGCTGTTGTTGCGGCGCACCGAGGCCGCCGGGAGGGGCATAGGTATATGAGGGCGGGCGGCCCAGCGGGTTCTGCTGATTCATGGGGAGCGAGGTGCTGCTCGAATTCGAAGCCTGGGGCGATAGCGACGTCGGTCGTTGCGCTCCCGTGGGGGCGGGATTGCCTTGGGGCGTGGGCGAGGGATTGTGTGAGGAACTCTTGCGTTTCGAACCCACTAGGTTCTTGAAACGGGCGTTCATGGAACTCATGAGAGAGGAGGGAGGAGGGAGGTCAGGCGGGAGGGGTGCGGTGCAGGATATCTGGGAGCGGTGCTGCGGCTGACAGCAAGCTGGGCGCGGTCCAAACGGCGCAAGCTGCAAGGCTGTGTGAAGGAAAGCCCGCCAACGCGGTGCGGCGCAGTCCCGGAATTGGCTGGGGCAGCTGGAGGACAGGCAAAGTATCCTCGAGCTTGACACGGCAGATGCAGCGCGCGCACACCCAACAGTTCAAGTCCCTGGCCACGGCGCTTGCTGGCGAAATTGACGCGGCGGGGTGAATTGTACACAAAGAGCGGGTCACTCTCCGCCGGTCAGCATCCTGGGCATCCTACGCCACATACTAAGGCCATTGCCCACGACCAGCCACGTCAAGCCGCTGTCAAACACGCCTGTTCAGTCCAGTTCCCAGCGGTACCCCAGCGACATGCAACGACTATTCCCGGCCGAACACCACGTGCTGAGCAGGGCCGATTCTGGAGAGGACAAGATAGTTTCCTCAAGCAGTTGACTCTGGCGGCCTGACCAATCCATCATTGATGCATCCGTCTTACAAGCCCGAGCTGGGTGGGTCCGCTGCACACTGCTCACCTCAGCACTCTAGATGCCTGAGGTTGCACGTTGCGGATGCCTTGCCCTATGCGAGCAATGGGCTGGAATCGCAAAGGTACAAGCTTGACATCTCTGTGCAGTTTGCGAGTTCGTCCTATCTTCGCGTTTCTTTGTTCCGACGACCATCGATGCCATGCTACGGACCCACTAAACTCTCCACACCAGGGTCCGTAAGGCTGGTGTCTAAACTTGGAACCGGGCCTGTTCGGTCACGGTATGCTAGCGTCGAATTGTGCGGCACGTTAACCAGTACATATGGGCGTGCATGCGTATGTTTGAGACTCGATCAAAATTTACAATGCCAATGTCTTGATGCTATGCGTAGTATGTGCTAAAATGATTTCAAGATGCGACCATCCAACGTTCCAATGTACCCAGTGTATCCAATGTGTCCAATGTAGCCAATGCGTCCAACGCGCCCAACGTATCCAGTGTACCCAACGTAAACGCCAATAAGTATCCTACCACCCTATCCAAAGTCGCGTAGAATGCCCGCGTGTGTATCATATCAATCCCATCTCATCGCTGTATCCAGAACCGCCCCCTCCCTCCACATCCCATCATCCCACCAGCCCACTCCCAAACGCCAGCCAAGCCAACACCCCCGACACAACCAACAACATTATCGCAACCACAAACATCGCAACAATATTCTCAACCGAGTACCTCACATCATCCGGCCTCACCACATCCACACCAATCTGGCTCTCCTCGTCTTCCTCGCGACCCCCGTGCTGGCCACGGGGTACGTACTGCACAAGCGTGTCGCGATAAGACTGTCGGACTGCGATTGCGTATGGAGGGGGTGCGTCGGCTGGATAGAAAGCATCGTTAGGTTGGTGAGATATTTCCGTTGACTGCGTGTACGCGTGGGAGACGAGGTGGGCGAGGGGGACATCGTCGGCGTCTGGGGTGTGGGGTGGTGAGTCTGTGTATGGTTGGTAGGGTGGACTGCGTCGTGACTGTCGTTGGTGGGTCGGTGAAGTGGTTTGACGCGTCGAGGGTGATGCTTCTGTTGGTGTTGGGGGGTCGTCGCGGTACGGCTCTTCGTCTGCGTAGGGAGGAGGCGTTGCGGACAGCGGTTTTATGGTCGCGGATGAGTCTGAGGAGCTGGGTGATGTTTGGTGGGTAGACGATGTTATTTGATCCCGTGCCGGAGAGTCGCGGTATGGTGTAGTAGTAGTGTTCTGCGCAATAGTTAGCTGACGTGACTCCAGATGGGAAGATAAGCTGATGTATACCTCCATAACGAGCTTCCAAAGCCAGGTACGATGCCGTCTCTCTCAAATAAACCTCCAACACAGCTAAAAGAGCGTCCAATTCCCTCAAGCACTGCCAAAGAAGCTGCGGTAAGCTATGTCACCAAGATGCTGTTGAGCGTGATCAGTAGAGGCTGCGGCACGTTACACAGCACAGGAGGTTAGCAGTCGCGTAGTCACAGGCACATATCAAGTTGGAGAGCA